TGGGCAAGGAGATGACATGTCACGTTGCCATGTCATTATTTATTCATTTATACAACTGACGTGTCTCAAAGGGTTGACATGTCATTAAATTGTCTGAGATAACGGTGAGATTTTAACGGAAGGACCAAATCGAGGTAAAAATGGTAAATAGTAGGGACCAAATCAGGGATTTTTTTAGTTCAAGGACCAAATCGGGGGTCCATACAATAGTTCAGGGACCAAAAAGGGGTTTTAACCATTTTTGCTCACAGACTTAACAAGGAAAACAAAAATAAAAAACATTATTAAAAATAAAAATTTCATTAAAAATTTGAGTTATGACACATATAAGGCTACATAGACATTTCACATAAAATTATGTCAATTTTTTTGGCCAATAGTCGACTTTTTAAATTAAGAGTCAACTCTTAACAAAGAAAGTCAACTATACCGAGCACCCATAACGTTCTCAATTCTTTGGAATTTGAGAGTCGAATGTTGACCTTATATAGTCGACTCTTAAAGGCTTAAAAATCAAATTTAGATTTTTAGAGTCGACTCTTTACTGTTCAAAAATTGACTTTTTACATAGAGAGTTGACATGCCATGCACCAGGATGTTCACAACTCTCTAGAATTTGGGAGTCAAATGTTGAGCTTATATAGTTGACTCTCGAAAGCTCAAAAGTCGAATCTATCATCATTGATTCGACTCTTTACTGTTCAAGAGTTGACTTTTTACATAGAGAGTCAACTATACCTTGCACCAGGATATTCTCAACTCTCTGGAATTTGAAAGTTGAATTTTGATCATTTATAGTCGACTCTAGATGTATCACTTCTTAAATTGTTACGAAATCTATCTTCTTCTTCTTCTTCTTCTTCTTTTTTAACTAATGACATGGAAAAAAATACATTAAATTTTAATGAGCTGTCATTTTTTACTCTAATTAGTCATATTTTCATCCTCTCCTACCTATTATTATCTTTTTCATATGGTAGGCCCTACATCAATATTTATAATTTTATTATTCTTATATAAGAATTACTTTGTCTTTCCTCTTAAGAGAGAAAGTATTAATAGATTTACATAATTAAAATTTGTAACTTGTAATTAAAGGCTTTAATTGAGTATTAATTAAAGAAAATTAAATTGGAAACTACTTTTTCTCCTTTGATGCCACTGTTCATCTTCTCCAACTCCAGCCTTCCACTTCCAATTCAATTTATGTGCAAAATCCTTAAGATTCTTTCATTAAGTTTAGAACTCATATAATGAAATGACTTAATCATAAACTAAGTTAAATAAGCCAAAAAAATAAAAATAAAAATAGAAAGAAGATTGAACAAAGAAACAAACAAAGGAATCAATTTGTATTTAATAAAAAAATTAAAATAAAAAGAAACAAACAAACAAAATCAGGATGCCCAAAAAAAAAAGGAAAAAGAAAGAAAGAACCCAACCAATTTGTATGAAAACAAAACAAAATAAAACAACCCAAAAGACTTCATAAGAACCCAGATCAATTGAAGTTGCAAAAATATGGGTTTATGGGTTTGCTTTCCAATTTAAAATAAACATGAGTTTGGCTATAAAGAATTTAGGAATAAAGTAAACAAAAAAGAAAATAACCCCAGGTTCTCCCATTGAGAACCTATAGCTTGGGTTCTCACCAGTACCCAACTTCGGTTCAACCAGATCTAGTTCTCCCAATGAGAACCCATGTGGGTATGTCCAAGTTCTCACTAGTACTGAACCAAGGTTTGGCCGTCATCATCCCCCTCATCGTCATCCTTACCTTCAGAGCAATACTAGGGAAAGGTAATATTAGCAACATATTCCTTGTTGACTTTTGGTTGCTAAAAACATTGGAATAACAGTAACGTGGTTTTTGTTGATAATGTCTAATATCAGCAATATGGTATATGTTGCTAGTGCTTCTAGTGACTGGAAAATTACAGCAACATGTCCCTTATTACTAAAATTCACTTTTAGCAACATATTTCTTGTCATTGAAATTCACTTTTAGCAACATATTCCTTGTC